ACTCGCACATGCTCTAATCCAGCGCCAAAATGGAACGGAAATGATTGCCCTTGGAAAAAAAATGTCTCCACAGAGAGATGCAGTTTGCTTAAATGTATAGGTAGATGCCTTTTTTGAAAGATTTTTCCAAAAATGATTCCAGCTTGTTTTGGATCTCGGTGTGTTCCTTGCTTAATCTTTTCATTTCAGAACTGAGTTAGTTTTTGATTTTTAGGATGTTTTATTGTTTGTACCGATGTGACCGTGAACCCTAGGCCCCCATTCCTGCAAGATGGCAAAATGAAATACAGCGGCAAGGAGGTATACGAGCGGCATTTAACTTCGCAATATAAATGGGACTCTATTAATACACAACCTTGTTAAATATTTTTGTTAGTCCAAGGGAAATAGACCTTGTTTTTAACGGTCGAGACTTGCGAACCTCTCGTGAAATGCGCAGCAAGAACCACCAGCCATGCAGGTTAGCCTGACTTCTCTAATTATTGATGATCTGGTCTTTTTACACAGATACGTCGGGGCTTCATCCGTATGAACCAGTCGGTTGTTTCAAAGACAATCATCCACGCGCTCTACCAATATTAGTCCAAGAGTACTCTGTCAACGAGACAGATTTGGCCAATTCATTCGCCAGCATAATTCACGCGTGTGCTACTGAAGTCTTTGAGATTGGATTGTGGTATTTTGGCGTGGAACATCGCCACCAGTGCTGGAGTGGGGCGAATGGCGACATGACTTACCACAGACACGGAAAATCCGACGACTGTTTATGGAATTATAGCGTGGGAGATAGATGGACCATATTTGTTTACCGCTTTGTTGAGGGTTAGTTACCAGTTGATCACTTCACACTTCACACTAACTAATGTTAAATTATGTAAAATGATTAGCATTTGGGTCCCAAACTAACTGATCTAAATATATTTCTTTCAGTCAGTTCTAAAAAGCTGTGAACTGGTATTAAGCACCAGCCTTGATGGGGCTCTTGTTTTCTCCAGTTCATTGGATTGGAATACTAAATAAAAACTATAAAGCTTTTCTTTTATACAGAAACGACGTCTTAAAACGCCGTTTACAGAGCATAGGCCGAGCATATTTAACCAATTAACAAAGTCAACAGTTTATACACTTTCTAAGGGTTTCATGTTATGGATTATTTTGTCTAATCATCAGTGAATGGCAGTTGGAGCCAGTGGTCGTCATGGCAACCATGCAGCGTGACGTGTGGAGG